CTTCAATAAAAGTTTTATAAAGCAAATTCCTTATGAATGTAAAAGAAGCTAAGTTTTGTTTTTTAGCAGAACAGAAGATAATTGAGGTGGAAATGTGCTCAGCTGGCTGTATGCTTGTTGCTACTAATAATGAATGTGAAGAGTTCTTCATAGGGTGCTGGGCTTCTGGGTTAACTGATCAACAAAGTCTGCCAAAGAGTTTGTCTTGGAAAGAATAATCTTCTGGCTTATTGTTATTGGGAGGAAGTAAGGATATAGAACCTTTGGGGTATGGCTCACACCCGCAGATATTTTCTCTAATAAAATCCTTAAGTCACAGTTCTTGGGTTGAGTTAAAACACCTATTCAAAAGGCAAGTAGCCTTATTTTCACCCTGAATTGGCCATAAACCTTAACAAATGCCGTCTCCGGGCCTCAGTCTTTCCCACTATAAAAGAAGAATAGTGGTTATTCCCTGCCTCACTTAGATGCTTTCATTCAGTCATTCAAATAGTCAGCACATCTATACTACACACTTGTTATGTATCAGGCACTGTGCTATTGCTGAGGACGCAGAAGTCAATCACGTAGAACCCCTTCCGCTCGATGACTCACGTTCTAATAGGGAAGGGGGGCTAGAGAACGCATTTACCGAGCGCCGCTGCACGTTGCACGCACTGGCTGCTGTGTGTGAGAAAGATGTATGTAATATAGAAGATATGTCAACAAATAATGTAATAGGTAAAGTGGTGCAATGAAAATACTCATAAAAGTGCTTTGGGACAGAGGAGGGGAAATGAGTCATTCTGCCTGGGGCCTGGGGAATTGGGGAAGGTTTACTGAGGAGATGAAATCTGTGCAGGGCTTGACAAGGAGGCGGACTTGGTTGTGTAGAACAAGGGCTGGGATGGGGAGGGGTTTCTGGTGCAGGTACAACTGATTCAAAAGCACTGAGGGCTTCAAAGGGACTGGTTCGTTTTCCAAAAAGACAAGCGGCTCACTCTGCTGAACATTTGGGTGTTTGGGGGTGAAGTGGGGAGCTGAAGGCGGGAGTTGGTTGGAGAAGGATTGTGAAGGATTGTGACACTCTTCAGAAGGCACTCGAAGGAGCCTGGCTTGGAGGGGCCATTGGAATACAGGACAAGACACATCAGATTTGTGCCTCTGAAAGACCATTCTAGAACCAGTGAGGGGGGCTATTGGAATGGAGAGGGGCTGTTCAGGAGGCTTTAGCAGCAATCTTGGTGAGAGGTGATGACTCAGTTCTGGTAGAACTGAGATCCCAGAAGGATCTTTGAGATATTTGAGATCTTTCGTTTGTTTGTTTCCAGAGTTTTTAAAAAATCAAATAATAGAAAAACTTTACATAAAAATATGTCAATCTTAACATAATAAAATAAAATTTAAAAAATATATGTCAGTCTTAGCTTCCACAGTGTTGTACACACACACACACACACACACACACACAAATCAGAACATGAAATCTTTTTGCTAAACTTGTAGCCTATGACTGCAGTGATAGCCATGCCAACTCATTCGGGTCCCAGGACATCGATGGCGCTGGGTGTCTGCATCTATGAACCAGGATACTCGCTGCTGCTGTCCCCACAGTGGTCTCCCTAATGTGGGGTTACAGTCACTATTGCTAATTCACAGAGACTAGTACAGGCCTACGTATCCATTTTTATAAATATTTCTTTATCAATAGGCTTACAATTTAAGTATCGTAAAATATTTTTTTAAAGATTTTTTTTCTTGTATTCATTTGAGAGAGCGTGCAGTGAGAGCACGAGCAGGAGGGAGGGTCAGAGGCAGAGGGAGAAGCAGACTTCCCGCCGAGCAGGGAGCCCGATGCGGGGCTCGATCCCGGGACCCTGGGACCATGAGCCGAGCCGAAGGCAGACACTTAACCGACTGAGCCACCCAGGCGCCCCAGGATCATGAACTATTTCTGATAACGGTCAATCATCAAGAACAAGAGACAGAGGAGCTACTCTGTTCTGGCATGCCCCTCGAGAGCCTGCTGACAATTCTCAGGGGTAATGCGGGCCAGTCCTGCTTCGGAAGGGCAGACCGTAGACCTTCCCAAGCTTGTCCTTGCTAGGTGCCCATCACATTCAGATCTCCATCTAGAACCAGACGGACAGCTTTTGGTGACTGACTGAATGTGACAAAAGAGAGGGAAGCAGGAATCCAAAAAGATTCTGCAGTTTCTCACGTGGCATTGGAGTGACTCCTTGCACAAGCTTCCTTGCAATTCCATGAGGAGAGGAGCAGGCCCTTTACCTTGGTGCTTGTTTTGTCAAAATAACGCTCCCCTCCGCACTGCACACCACCACCTGGAGCCTCACCTGGCTGTGATTTCCAGGTCATGTTGTGGCCCAGCTGCAAAGGGCCTGTGGTTCCTTGTTCCCACCTGTGAAGGGAAAACGAGTGGCTGCTGGTGGGGAGAGAAGCTGGTGTAGACAAGGCTCGGGTCCCGGCCGGGTCCTGAAGCCTCTGGCGGCTTCACTGTGACTGGAGGGTGTGCTTCCCGCCTTCGCTGCAGCAAATATTCATATTTTTAATAGTTTTCTAAGGCCCGTGGAGGGAAGTGGCCTTCTTATGATGCGTCAACTTCTCAAGTGTGCGACTGATACTTGAAAGAATTATTAGGAGACTTCTTTATTTTTAATTGCATCAACTTGTTTGGTACGTGACCCAATTAATTCATTCTTGTTGTGAATGTTATTGGAAGACCTGTTACCCTCTTGACTTCTCCTTATAAGTATGACTGGTGCCCTCATTTGAAGCACCATTTTGATTACACACTTAGAAGGAACTACTAAAATGCCCTCTCATGGCAGCGTGGCTGAAATGGCCACTGCTTGCTTGGGCTCAAGGACGGTCATCTGAGAGTGGTTCTTGTGTCCTCCACAGCTCAGTGGCCAGGACCTCCCTTTTCGCCTACCCCCTTCCCCCCGGATTCTGCCCCTTACCCCCCGCCCCCGGGAGGGTTTTAGTCACACGGTCCTGCTTTAATAAGACTGGCTGTTCTCCCTGAGGCCCAAAGAGCTGTGTTTTAACAAACACAGATAAATCAATAAATGTGCCTCATCAGCGTTGGGATCGCTGGCAGGTGCCTCAGAGCAAACAGGACTGTGATGCCCCCATCATCCCCCACCCCCCTCCCCCCCAGACATACTCGTATTGGTTTCTGCTCATCCTTAGATTACGCTATCTGGCAAATCCGCATTCAAACAAAAACTGGTCCCGCCCACTCGCCCAAATGCAGGTGCAAGCCTGTATCTGGGGAGCAGTTTTAACCAAACTGTGGGAAATAAAGTTCTCCCTTCTGAGGTCTCTGTCCGGTGGTCTGAGCATTTTCATCCGCATGGATCTTCCGAAAAGTTCTTTCTACCATTTAATTATCGCCGCTTGGCATCTGGTTCCATAAAGCAACATCTGGTGTGCCTTACAAAGATTCACGATCATTCACCGAGGTAAAGGACAAGCTGTCAACTCAGTAAATTGTCTTGTTCTTCAGAGTGAGACCTTTAAAGGCCTCTTAGTGGCCCAGACAAGGGTCCCGTTCAGTCCTCTTTGGTATTCTCTCTGTCACCCGTCTCCTTATATTACTGTAGAAGTTATGTTTGTGCAGCCCATTTAGAGTTCAGTGGGAAGAAATACAGATGAGAAAATCAGAGGGAATCCTGTGGATGATGATGAGAAAATAAAAACTTTTTAAGATGACAAGGGGGGGGAATGTATTAATGTCCACACATCTCAGTCATGGCTGCGAATTATGTACAGATAACTGGCAGCACTCATCACTTTCCCTAATTGGATGAGACCTTCGGGGAAATTCTAGTTGTGCCCTCCTGCCTTGGGGAGTGTTATGTGGAGTAGCGTCTGCGTCCGTTGAGTCTGCTATGACAAAATACCACAGACAGGCTAGCTTATGGTAACAGTAGAAATCTATTGTTCACAGTTCTGGAGGCCAGAAGTCTGAAATCAGGGTGCCAGCATGGTGGAGTAGGGCCCTCCTCCAGGTCCCAGACTGCCTACTGCTCGCTGTGTCTTCACATGGCAAAAGGGGCAAGAGAGTTCTCTGGGGGCCTCCTTTGTAAGAGGCTCACCCCCATTCATGAGGCTCACCCTCACGACCCAGTCATCTCCCAGGGCGTGACCTCCTAATACCCTCACCTTGGGCATTAGGGTCTCAACATATGAATTTGGGGGGCGGGGACACAAACATAGCAAGTAGGATGCAGTTGTCATCACCGAGTCTGTAATATTAGGTTCCTCATTAAGGATTCGGCACAACCCAAAACATAGGGCAAAACTTTTCTTCATAAAGGGCAGTGGAAGTGTATTTCCTTCAAAGGATCGAACTATTTGTTTTCCCATCAGAATCTGAGATTTAGGGGCGCCTGGGTGGCTCAGTCGTTAAGCGTCTGCGTTCGGCTCAGGTCATGGTCCCAGGGTCCTGGGATCGAGCCCAGCATCGGGCTCCCTGCTCGGCGGGAAGCCTGCTTCTCCCTCTCCCGCTCCCCCTGCTTGTGTTCCCTCTCTCGCTGTCTCTGTCAAATGAATAAAATCTTTAAAAAAAAGAATCCGAGATCTGGCACTCTCTATATACCGTCTTGTGGCAAGAGTGTGCATGTCTGGAGTTTTAACATGCCACTCAACCATTCACTCACTTAACAAATACTGAGTACCGACTGTATACTGCGCACAGTGCTAAAGCATGCTACCAACCTACTGGAGGGTTTGGCTGGCTGACCTTTAGTGACAGAGAGAGAAAACACTGGAGACTTGGCTAGAACTGGAATCCATTTGCCACCACAACTTTCAAGAATAGCCTTCTTAGAAACAGGAAATGAACACAAAGACCAGAGGTTACTGGGACTTACAGGCAGTTACCAGCCACATTCTTCAGAAGGAAGCCTCTGCTAAAGTTCTGAAGAATATTGACAAATGAAATTTGTTCATGATGCCTTGTTTACCCCTCATGATGCTTTGCTCTTTTGGCCCAGACACAGACAAGATAGTACTAGAGGCAGGAAACGGATTGCCATCCTGGAAATTCAATGACCAGCTTTTCCCGTGTGACGTGTGTGGGAAAGTGTTTGGCCGACAGCAGACGTTGTCCCGACATCTCTCGCTGCACACAGGTGAGTCGGGAACTCACTCGGATGCCCTTGACACTCTGGATCACCAGCTTCTCTCTTCTCAAGAAGCTGAGTTTCTCTGAGTGAATTGTAACAGGAAGTGGCGGAAATGTTTCTGTCCTGACCTTTCAAGCCACTGTACCTGGCGCGTTCAAAGGCGGCCCTGGAAACGGTTTATATTGAAAGTAGGATTGGTGAGAAAAGAGAGGCATGTAGGTGTATCCGGGTAAAATTCCGGCACTCTAAGCACCATGCTGCTCTCATCTTGAGGGTGCGGGGGATGGGGCTGCCCCCCCCACCCCGTCTCATTGGTTTCATCTTAGCGTGGTAAATGGGAGCAGCTGAGGGACAGAGCAGCTGATGGGGAAACAGTTGCTATCTTTACCTTCATGTCATAGTAGAGAAATGTGCTTGATTCTACGTGTTGCGAAAGGGAAGGCAACCAAATTAAGGAAGGATAAAGGCGGAATAAATAGTAACTTAATTAATGCAACGAAAATCAGTTCCTTCTCCCCCAGAAGAACAAACTGTACTTTATCCGCACCGCGGGGCTCCTCCCCTAGCCCCACCAAGCCCCGGGCCACCAGCACTTCAAATGTGGGGGACTATCCGTAGTAATAATGCTGATGCCTTACATTCTGTTGGGGAAAAACTTCATTCCTCATTCTCTGCTGTGAAGTAGATAAGACTGGGTATTCTTTAAAGTCAAGCCCAGTAATACAAAGTAAGAATCAGGGATAGAAAATGAAGTTGCTCTTTGCTTTTTCTGCCCCCGTCGGCCACCTTTATCTGCACAATGAAAGCAAAGCCTGCTCCTTTTACTATAATTTGCTTGATGAATCGAATGAATTCAGAATGCCACTCTGCAGAGAGTCCTGAAACGTTGTCAGTTTTACGAGAGGGTTTTCATTAAGAAATAAATTGGAATTTTTAATTTTATTTACGTAAAATGAAAATTGCCCATTAAATCATTTCACACGAGTCATATTTTTGCCCCCTTTAATTTCATTAGTTTTTGATTTCTTGGCTGCTGTAGGCCTGGGGCTTAGGGAAAATGATGGGGCTTCTCTTACACCAGTCCTAGGAAGGCTGTGTTCCCCTCCCCTTTCTCCAGCCAAGCGCCCACCCTCGGCTGACACGTGGGGAGTATGTGCGCACACGCACACTCACACATACACGATATTCTTTTAGCCCCTGTGGGGCTCCCCTTAGCAGGAAGAGGGACCTGTGGGTGTCTAGGAAAAAGCAGATGGTCCAGTTGTCCTGGGACTTGCTGTAATCTTTGAAAGTGCTGATAAATACAGCAGTGACCTGCTGGATAGAGACTGTTAGATACTTATAATTCCTAGGGGTTCCCTTGGTCCCCATTTGAAATGAGATTTGAACCCTCCTTTTCCTGCAGAGCTCTAAGCGGCCGCTTGCAAGGTGTTGGGTGTTCATTTTTAAGAGCAGTTTGGGTTGTTTCCCTTTGCTTCCCCCGCAGAGGAAAGAAAATACAAATGCCACTTGTGCCCGTACGCGGCCAAGTGTCGTGCGAACCTGAACCAGCACCTGACCGTCCACTCGGTGAAGCTGGTGAGCACGGACACGGAGGACATCGTCAGCGCCGTCACCTCTGAAGGCAGTGATGGGAAGAAGCACCCTTATTATTACAGGTGAGCGGTGAATGGAACCGTGCCCAACTTTCTCGAACACTCCCCGCCCGTGTGCTAGGGCCTACGTGATGAGATGTCTCTCCTCAGTCACAGTGCAGACCTTCGTTGTAATATTTGCTCTGCTTAGACTGAACCCGGAAGCTGCGCTGACTCCTCTCTTGGCCTGGGTGGCCCTAGTAGAATTAATTGAAAGGGAAATGGTCTCGGAGGTGGCTCTCTGGGGTGGAGCTCCAGAGAGCGGCAGGGCTCCGGGGGTTATTAGCTTTTAGGTTTGTGCAGCTGGGAAGTTTCCATCTTTGTAACAGAGCACCTTGCTGCTACCTGAGAACTGTCCTACGGAGAAAAAGAGTAGGAAAAATAAATCTGAAAACTCTGGGGAAATCGCCCTGAAAGCGTTGCATATTTTCCCGTGGTCGTGTTGTCTTCAGTACCTGGAATTTTATGTTTCCCTTCCACATTCGACCATGAATCAGTATTTGGTTTGGTTGCTATAAAATCCCAAGGGTCAGCATCTTTCCCAAGAGGCAGGCCGTACAGATTGGGGGAAACCTGCTTTTGTGTGGAATGTCTCCATGGATGGGTGGCTTCTATTGGGAACTGTCACAGACGGGACTTGCTCCTGCTTGCAGTGCCGTCCGAGGACCTGCATGTGCCTTCATCGGTACACCGAAGGTTCCCGGAGCCAGAGAGAGGCTCACTGGGTATGCTGGGTGCCCCGAATTTATCAGTGTATCAGCACCGCTAATATCCTGGCAAAGCTGCACCGCATCTCTTTGCCCAAGGGAATCCGTAAGGTGATGTGTGGCATCTGGAATCTGTAATTTTTAATTAACTTTATGATTATGATTATAGCGTGTATGGGATTGTTATGTTATGCCAGCACTTAATCCGTTTGGCACAGTGACTACTGCAGAGGCCTCCCAGAAAGCCGAAGAATTTTCTAATGCAAAACGTTTAGGCGGGAGGAAAAACATGTGTAAGAGTCCAGCTTTCTGAGTGGACCACAAAGTATCACTCTTCTCTCTCCCCCTTTTTTGTTTTGTCGTCCCCTCATATAGCTGTCATGTGTGTGGATTTGAGACCGAGCTCAATGTCCAGTTTGTCAGCCACATGTCACTCCACGTGGACAAGGAGCAGTGGATGTTTTCCATCTGCTGCACCGCCTGTGACTTTGTCACCATGGAGGAAGCAGAGATAAAGGCTCACATTGGCACCAAGCACACAGGTGACCATCACTGTCGGTCCTTCTCTCCTCCATCCCCCAACCACCCCAGAGTGCTTGCCCACCTGGCAGATGCATCACCGTCACCAGGCGACGCGGACCTCTCCTTCCTCCGAAGGAAGGACTCTCCCAGGGTAGCAGAGCCCCGTTGCGCAGGGTTCGCCTTTCATTTAAGGCGCTTGCCGTTCTGGTTCACGTCTTCCTTTTCATGATGTTAACATTGTGACTTCACCATGCAATTATCCTCTCACAACCGAGGGTTACAAATGACACCAAGGTGGAGTCATTAAGTGAGAATGAGGAGGAGCCCCTCCACTCCCCTCCCCACCCCCCACCCCACCCCCCCGGCATTTGGTGGTGCTTACAGATTACAAGCTGATGTTGCTAACTGCCAGCCCTGGGTGTTGGCTCAGCCACTGGCGTCACTGGTACTTGAAGGATTTGGGTAAGGGGAATTTCCCAGACAGTTGTGCTGACCACATGCTCGGCCAAGAAGGAGCTCTCTGTGCTTTAACCGGCCGCCTTGGTTCCGTGGTGCCAACAGCAATAAAAGCTTGCTTTTGTCGTAAGTTGAGCAGCTATGACTTGGAGGTCTGCAGAGAGCCCTTATGGTGGGTGAGAAGGTGCCATTTTTACAGTTGGTTGTCTGGCTCTCACATTAGCACCGTGGGCAGCAGGTGAGCTGGGAAACCCATGTCAAAGACAAACTAAATTCAACATTTCTGGAGTGGCTAATGAAGGGAAAGGCCAGCCTGTCTTCCATTTCCACTGGCTTTTCAGATATTCTTTTTTTCCCCTCTTTTCTGTGACTCTCCTATTCTTCTAACCCTCTCCGCCCCAAGTGTGTCTAAGCCCAGTCAAGAACCTTCTCCCCAGGCACAGCCCCTCTGCCACCACCCCACCTCAAGGAAACCATAGAAACCATAATGGCTGGAAAGCAGTTGGATGTAGAATCGCTTCATTGTCATCGATAGAAACTTCACATTCACAAGTACCCAGTGCAAACACACTCACTGCCACTGGGAACACAGAGATCTTGTTCCCTCTGAGGTGGAGGGGCTCCTTGTCTACCTGGGAAGAATATTCTCATTTGTTATCACAGAGAGCCAGAGTGAAATGCATTAAGGAAGTTGCTTTTTTAGTACAGTAGAAGCCTTTAACACTGCTGCTATTAGGGAATAAGGTTATAAGGTTTTTATAGGCTTTTTTTCGCCAGGGAAACTAACAGAGTTTGGTGGTTTTTTGTTTTGTTTTGTTTTGTTTTGTTTTGTTTTTTGTAAGGGCCAGATAGTGAATATTTCAGGCTTTCAGGCCATACAGTTTCTGTCACTACATTCATTGGAATGAGCTGAAATTTGAAAGTAGAGTAGACAATACACAAAAAAGTGGGCCTGGCAGTGTTCCAATAAAACTTTATTTACAAAAACAGGAGGCTAGGGTGCCTGGGTGGCTCAGTTGGTTAAGCAACTGCCTTCGGCTCAGGTCATGATCCTGGAGTCCCTGGATCGAGTCCCGCATCGGGCTCCCTGCTCGGCGGGGAGTCTGCTTCTCTCTCTGACCCTCCCCCCTCTCATGTGCTCTCTGTCTCTCTCATTCTCTCTGTCTCAAATAAATAAATAAAATCTTTAAAAAAAAAAAAATCAAAAACAGGAGGCTAGATTTGGCCAAAGGACCCCTTTTAGAAGCTAATGGTCTTCACAGCGAGGATTTCTTGCATGCGGTTGCTGTTCTGAAGTGTTTGAATTTGACCCAAGATATGTCCATCTAAATCTGTTAATTAATAAGCTGTATAGTTATAAAGTTATGATATAAAGCAGTATATATGCTATGTGATACATATTATACTGCATACCCCCGAGAATAGGAAGCTTATCTAAGTTGCCATTGTCTCTTGAGCACCTGGGCCAGTGCCTGCACCGTGTAAGTGCGGAGTAAACGTTCATCCGGTAAATGAGTAGATGTGTGCAAGCACACTTACACACATCTGTGTGTGTTAAGCAAGAAAATTATTCCAACGTGGCCCTTACTGAACCCTGAGAGTCTACCGACTTATGCATATAATCTATGTGGAAGAAGTTACTGGGGATGGAGGGAAACACACTTTGGATTCTAGACCCTAGTTCTAGACCCCATGTTACCATAAATAGCACTGCAAACGTAGAAACTCATTTAACTTCCCTGGGCCTTCATCCATTCCCTGACTTTTTGAATGTGCAGGAGATGCCCAACAGGCATAAAGTTCTCTAATTCTGTGGACCTTGTTCTCTGATACGATTTACCTGTCATAGGAATGGGCACCTTTTATTTCAGTCCCCTAGGAAATCTGCAGTGCTTTCTTGTTACAGACGTGAAGTTGTGATCTACAGGATGAGCTCTGTCTCCCACAGAATCCATGTGCTTTCCATACTTCCTTCCTGGCTACTCTTACCCAGGGCACACTGGTGAGCAGGGTGCTGAGTGGGTATCTGAGGAACTGCCCTCCTTTTAGGTAGTTTCTTCCCAGTGACCCCTCCTTACCCTCTTGCTCCCACTCCCTCGCTCTTTGTGTCTGCAGAGAACAAGGGAAAGATACTCCCTCTGGTGCTCCCAATGTCCTTGATGCAAATTTGGCTGCAATGTTTAAATGCTGCCATAACAGCATTGAGGAACCTGAATAGCTATTTGGGAAATACAACCATCAATACTTTACCTCACACTGACACAGATGACTTACATAATCCCCGTTAACAAATCAGCCCTAGAAAAGCTTGAAGAAAATAGAATGTTTATCAGACTTCCAGAGTGAGGAGGATTTGTGAAAGCTTAAGTGATTCAAGAAATGGCAAAAGAAAAGAATCAAGAGATTTGCTGCATAAGAATATCTTCTTCTCTTCGCAAAAGAAAAGGAAAAGAGAAGGAAAACAAAACCAAAAAACCAGTCTGAAGAGTGTGTTTGTAAAAATGACAAAGGCTGATACATTTACTGCATAGAAAATTGGTATAAACTGGTAAGAAACCCTTCAGGTCTCTAAGTGAAGAATTTACAAAGGACATAAACAGTTAATACACAAAAAAGAAATAAAAGCTAACCACTCGACAAAAGGAAAAATATTTGACCTCACTAGCCATCAAATTAAAACTCAAGAGTGGCTTACATTTCACCGATTGCATTAGGAATGTGTTTTACAGCATTACCCATGGTCATTGGATGCTGCTGATACTTTTATGGCCATGACCCTACAGAGTGGGAGAACTTTTGAAAACTACTTAGGTAGTATAGACCAAGAGGCTTGAAAATGCCTGTAACTCAGTAATCCTTCTGGGAGAATCTCCATAGGGAAAAAAATCAACAATGGAATATTAATTTTCTTTTTTTTTAAGAGTTACATATGATTTGTAACTTTCTTTTCTTAAGATTCATTTATTTATTTTAGAGAGCGTGAGCATGCGAGTGAACAGGGGGAGGGGCAGAAGGAGAGACTCTCAAGCAGACTCCCCACTGAGTGCAGAGCCGGACATGGGGTTCGATCTCACAACACTGAGATCATGACCTGATCCGAAACCAAGAGTCAGATGCTTAACTGACTGAACCACCCAGATGCCCCTAACACTATCATTTAAAACCATTAATTAATAATTATTTTCATAAATTTTGAGAGCCAACTATGTGCCAGCATGGGAAAATACAGTGTTAATGATTGTTATTATTATTTATAAATATTATATGTTATATATATATATTTTAAAGATTTTATTTATTTGACAGAGAGAGACATAGCGAGAGAGGGAACACACACAGGGCAGTGGGGAGAGGAGAAGCAGGCTTCCCACTGAGCAGGGAGCCCGATGCGGGGCTCGATCCCAGGACCCTGGGATCATAACCTGAGCTGAACGCAGGTGCTTAACGACTGAGCCACGCAGGTGCCCCTATATGTTATATTTTATAATAATAATAATAATAATAATAATACATTCTTCTATAATGCATGCAATGAGCCAGGCATTGTTCTTGGTGCTTTATGTATAAAAACCTGTTTGATCCCCACAACAAACATATGAGGCTGCTGATATTAACCCCATTTTTAAGATGAGATCATTGAAGCACTAAATTAAATCCTTTCTCTTAAGTTATTCAGCCATTAAATGATACAGGTGGCATTCCAACTCAGGTATTCTGGGGGTGCCTGGGTGGCTCAGTCGGTTAAGCTGCTGCCTTCGGCTCAGGTCATGATCCCAGGGTCCTGGGATCGAGCCCCGCATCGGGCTCCCTGCTCTGCGGGAAGCCTGCTTCTCCCTCCCTCACTCCCCCTACTTGTGTTCCCTCTCTCGCTATCTCTCTGTCAAATAAATAAATAAAATCTTTAAAAAAAAAAATCAAACTCAGGCATTCCGGATCTGAAGTCCTTATTCTTAACTACTATGCAATTAGCGGCAACAATTTTAAAATAGATATGCTTACTTCTAAAAAAATTAAAAGTACATCAAAAATGTAATGGTGTTTATATTGAGGCAGCAAGACAACTGATAATTTTTATGGTCTCAATTTATCATTTTGTGTCATGTTAGATTATGAACTATTTCGGTTTTTTTCAAGTTCTCTTTAGCTGGCTGTCCTAATGTATGAGGTTGCATTACCTGTGCACGGATGTCCTTCACCAAGAATCTTTGTACTGCTGAAAATGAATGACCCCTTGGATCAGTGAGCCATGGACTGAGTTGACAAGGGCACCCTGGCTCACTCCCAACAGAGCCAAGGGAGATGAGGACTGAGAGCAGAGGAAGCGGTGTGGGGTAGGGATCACAGCTTGAGCGGACTGGGCTATTTCCCCACACCGACTCACAGAGCAGCCGCCTTGGCACCTGTATGTTTATACATTTATTAATTTAGACAGCTCTCTCCAGTGTCTTAAGCCTCAGGGTACTTGCCGCTATTGTTAAAGACGGTAGTTAAAATTATAGGTTTTAACTCTAAAAACTAATTTAAAATAATCACTTGCTGGGGCACCTGGGTGGCTCAGTCGTTAAGCGTCTGCCTTCGGCTCAGGTCATGATCTCAGGGTCCTGGGATCGAGCCCCGCATCGGGCTCCCTGCTCTGCGGGAAGCCTGCTTCTCCCTCTCCCACTCCCCCTACTTGTGTTCCCTCTCTCGCTATCTCTCTGTCAAATAAATAAATAAAATCTTTAAAAAAATAAAAAAATAAAATAAAATAAAATAAATAATCACTTGCAAGATTCTATGGATAAGACCCACCTTAGAGGATGGATTTGGTGAAGCAATAGACTCAGGGCCCCTACTGAACATACTCTGTTTGTCTACAAAATGTGACTAACCTGGTTAAATATTTAGATAAGAGACTGGCAATGATGGTGCCCGCTTTCACTAGCTTCCTTGTACCAAGGGGGGTCTATACTTTAAAGGCATATTCCCTCCCTCCTTGTGGGTCAGTGAGTGAGGTCACATAGTGTCTTTCCAGGAACCAAGTTCCATCCTGCTGGGAACAAGATTTTTAAAATTGTAAACTGAAGTAAGCGCTGTCTTCCCTGGACGTAAGTGCAGGTTTGCCGGGAACAAGACTTGGAAACATTGCAAGAGGGTAAATATTTCTTCCTTCCTCTTTTAAAAAAAAAATTTTAAATTGGACAAGTAATTTATGGTCACTTTAGAAAATTCTGAAAACCAAATAAAAGAAAACAAACATACCGCTGATAATTTCACCCACTAGCTGTCACCACCATTACAGCTTTGTTTACTTCTGGACTTTTTTATGCCTGTATATAATATATGATTTGTTTTTTTTAAATCTCCTGATAAAGTTCATTTCTAGAGTTCACAGTCACTAGATTACTTAATTGACTGATTTGAAGGGAACTGACGCACAGTCTCCCTGTATTTCCTACCCTAACCTAAAATGATGGGCCTGCTTCAATCTCGTTTGGGGAGAAATGACATCTTAACAGTATCAAGTCTCCCAAACCATGAACAGCATAGAACCTTCCAGTTATTTGGGGTGTGTAATGTACATCGTTAATTTATTACAGTACATGTTCAAGTGATATTGTACCTTTTCATGTGCAGTGTAAGATCCTCACAATAGCATACTTCCCTGTCTCCTCTCCCAGCCTTTATGCTATCGCTGTCATATTTTACTTATTTATGTTATAAACCCTCTATGACATTATTCTTTTTTAACAAAATCACTTTGATTCTCTTTTAGAGAGATTTAAATAAGAAAACTCAGGTATTTGGCCATGGAGTTGCCATTTCCTGTGCTCTTCATTCTTTTGTGTAGATCCATTTTTACTTTTGGTGTCATTTTCCTTCTGCCTCAAGAATTTCTTTCTATTTTTTTCTTAATATTTTTATTTATGTATTTGACAGAGAGAGACACAGCAAGAGAGGGAACACAAGCAGGGGGAGTGGGAGAGGGAGAAGTAGGCTTCCCGCGGAGCAGGGAGCCCGATGCTGGGCTCAATCCCAGGACCCTGGGATCGTGATCTGAGCCGAAGGCAGACGCCCAATGACTGACCCACCCAGGGGCCCTCAAGAATTTCTTTTAACATTTTTTGTAATTCTCGTCTGCTGGCGATGAATTCTTTCCCCCTTTTGGGTGGGGAGGGAAGCTTCATTTTTGAAATCCATTTTCACAGAGTATGAGATCTCAGATTGACAGCTGTTCCCTTCAGCACTTTAAAGATGGCGCTCCACTACTTCTCGCTCGCATTGTTTCCCGTGAGAAATCTGCTGTCATCCTTATTTTTGTTCCTCTACACAGAATGTATCCTTTTTCCTTAGGCTGCCTCTAGGGATTTTTTTTTTTCTTTATCACTGGTTTTGATATCCCTTGGTATAGATTTCTTCATCTTTCTCATGCATGCGGTTCATTTTGCCTCTTGGATCTGTGGGTTTATGGTTTTCCCCAATTTGAAAAAGTTTTGGCCTTCTCAGATTTTTCTGCCCTTCCCACCCCATCAGGGACTCCAGTTAAATTTATATTAAGCTACCTGAAGGCATCCCACAATCCACTGATGCTCTTTTCATTTTTATGTTTCTTTTTTCCCTCTTTTTCAGTGCAGATAATTTCTATTACTATTACCTTCAAGGTTCACTAATCTTCTGCCATGTCTAAATTGCTGGTAATCCCATCCGGTGTATTTTTCATCTCAGACGTTGTAATATTCATCTCTAGAAATTTGATTTGGATCTTTTTTGTATCTTTCATATCTCTATTTAACTTTTTCAATATATAGACTATAGTTATAATAACATTATGTCCTTCTCTGCAAATTCTAACAACTGTGTCAGTTCTGGGTCAGTTTTGACTGGTTAATTATTCTCCCCATTTTAGGTTGTGTTTTCTTGTTTCTTGGCATGCCTGCTAATCTTTGTTTGGATGTCAGACATTGTGATTAGCCTTCCTGGGTGCTGGATATTTTATATTCCCATAAAAATTCTTGACCTTTGTTTTAGGATGCAGTTAATTACTTGGAAAATTTGACTCCTTTGAGTCTTGCTTTTGTGACTTGTCAGGCAGGTCTGAAGCAGTGGTCCAACTAGGGCCAATCATTACCCACTCCTAAGAGATCTTCTTCAGTTTCCTACCCAATGCCCTGGGAATTGTAAGTGTTTCTAATCTGGCTAGTGGAAACAGCAGTGTTTTCTGAGCCTTTCACATGGCCTTTTTTCCCTCCAGTCTTGGGGGGTTTCTCACACATGTGCCCTGATCCCTACTCTGCTGAATGAATACTCGTGGGGGACCCCCTGCAGGTCTTTGAGTTTTTCCTCTGTACTGTTCGCCCCCCTCTGGCACCCTGCCCCACCAAGTCCAGCAATGTTGATCTCCCCAGACCCTTAGCGCTCTCTCCTCAATTCAGTGAGTCTGATGGGCAGGTCCCCACCCCTGCACTGCAGGCTGAGAAGTAAACTCTCTAAAGGCAGGAAGTGGGCCACCTCTCTTCTTTCCTGTCTCCCAGGGATCACTCTTCAGAGCCTGATGTCCAATGTTGTAAAAACTATTTTGGGGAAAAAACAACAACAACAACAACTATTGTTTGATATATTTTGTCTGGTTTTGTTTTAGTTCTTTCAGCAGCAATGGTAAATCCGGTCTCTTGACACTTCATCTTGAGTGGAAGCATTAGTCTCCTGACACTGTATTTTAATGGCCTCCCAAAACTGGTTTACTCCTGGGTTTGAGGGAGAGTCCAGTCCATGAAGAGCATGGTTCCCAGAGTCAGACCAACTGAAATCTCTTCTCCACCACTTCCTAGTGTGTGACTTAGGCCAAGTTACCCTGACTGTGCCTCCCTCCCCTCATCTGTGAAACAGGAGTGCTAACAGTTGTGTCTCATTGGATTTTTGAGAAGATAAAATGAGATACTGTGTTCAAAGCATGACAGAGTTCCCAAGTCCCACAAGTGTCATCATTGTAGATGATGGGGACCTGGGGTCCCAGTAGGTACCCTGGGAGAGCTGGGAACCTCACCCTGTCTTCCCTGAATGATGATGTAGCCACGAGACCCCCCACCACCCCCACCCCTACTTGCTGTTATTCGAGGGTTATCATCTCCTAAATAACAGACCTGGGTTTTGGGGGGGGTTTGTTTGTTTGTTTGTTTTTTCAGGAGAAGACAGGAAGACCCCCAGTGAATCAAACAGCCCCTCTTCCTCCTCCCTCTCAGCTCTGAGTGATTCGGCCAACAGCAAAGACGATTCAGACAGCTCTCAGAAAAACAAGAGTGGGAATAACCTGCTGGTCATCTCTGTCGTGCCTGGGAGTCAGCCCTCAGTGAACAGTGAGGAAAAGCCAGAGAAAGGTGAGGGAGGAGTGGGTTGGCCTGCTTAAAAATAAGCCCCCAAGGGGAGTGATGTTGGAAAACAGACAGTAGGCCTGGGAACAGTATAACGCTATCATCGCCTCAAATTTGTATTTCTTTTGGCTTGATTTGCACCCAAATATGGGGTGGATGGATGGGCAGTGTGACGCTGATTCTGGAACTGTACACTTAACTCCTTCTGCCACACAGATGCAGGGAAGGGTGCCTGAAAGGGCATAGCTGGGGAAGAGGAGAAACGGGGTGATGTCTGTCCCCCTCCTGCCCTCCTGTCCCTCTGCCTCGTGCACCCGTACACCCAGCTCCCGTCCTTTCAGGGTTCGAATGCGTTTTTTGCAACTTCGTCTGCAAGACGAAGAACATGTTCGAGCGCCATCTGCAGATACACCTCATCACCCGGATGTTTGAGTGTGACGTGTGCCACAAGTTCATGAAGACACCTGAACAGCTGCTGGAGCATAAGAAATGCCACACTGTCCCCACCGGTGGGCTCAAGTAAGGAAAGCAAGTACAGAACCTTTTACTGTGTTGTTATTAAACACCCCTCCCTGTCCCTCCCCCTCCCCCCTCCCCTGACGGTTCTGGGGTCACGGAGAGGGAGAGCTTGGCATGGGGCTAGTCAGTCAGGCACCTCTGCTACCTTGAGCCGGGTATGAATCAGACCTGTTCCCCGGGGGGTCAGCAGACGCAGCAGGAGAATCCATTGCACAAATTCCCCGGGAGTCCTGGCAAGCAAGAAGACGTGTTGGAGCCGCTCGGCATGCAGGGGGTAGACTCAGCCTACACTGCTTGAGTTTGGTTCGGACTGGATTTTATGGACTTGGGGCTTATGTCCCCGAGCGTAATTCATTACACTCTCACAGCCCTTCGCTATCTGTGACTTATTTTTTTTAGATGATTTGCCATGTATCTTTTAAACCAGCATCACAACAAGCCCACCCGCACCCCACCCCCAAATATTGGATCCTTGCCTTTTCGAACAGGCAGGAGGCAGTGTTTTTCAGGTAGAGATCACGTGCCTCACGTCTTCTGCAAACATGCCTTATTCCTTCCCAGGAACTGCGATTGGGATCTCCCTGGCTAGCCTTCATGAGATCTGACATTTCCAGTCACACGTTACTCACAGAATCCCCAAAGACCTAGACCACAAGCATCATCATTAACTACTATTTGCAAGAAGCCCTCTGGTCTGAAGTGAGACCCGTCAGTTACTACCGAATGCACGGTGTGTCTGGCTTGATAATAGGCGCTGAAGGGCAAACGAGGAATAAAACGTAATTTCTACCCTCAGGAAATGTATGTCCTAGCACTACCAGAATTTAATCTTTCCGGTGATTCTGAAATCAGCCCCTGTTCACAAGGCACTTAGGACCTAGTAGAGAAAGAAGCATATGTCGTCGAATACAGAAAGACACACAAGTTTCAAGGCATAATTATTCATGTTTAGCTGAAATAATCATGTCACTAAAAGAATGAAAATTTATATTTTACTTAACACAGGGGAAAAAAAAAAAACCCTCTTGTTTTTAAACATTTTTATCTTTGAAACTCACAAATTGCCAGAGAGGTTGGCATGACTGTCCTGAATGGGTGAGGGATGGAGAGACCCAAAGGGACCCTGGGGGTCAAGTGTTGGGGGTAGCCCAGGGTTGACCCCTCTGCAGGCTCCTGCCTGGTCAGAGGCACCCTCCTCAAAAACTCTCCCAAACAGAGGAGTCAGGGAGCCGCACACCTACTGTCAAATTCCATTTTGTTTCACTCTTGGGGCACTTAAGTGGGAGGGGGAGGGGATGGCTGTAGGGATGGGGGAGGGGAGATTATAATTCAAGACAACCAGTAAATGGGAAATGCCCAGCAAGAGCTTATTTGGGAATTGGATTTGGTTTGTTCCCCCTGTCCCTTTCTAAATACTTGTATACTCTTATTTTTAAAAAAAGAGAAAAAGCCATGTATTTCTGTGGTTGGACTAGTGCTCGTCGCCTTTCCCAGTAGCCCAGTCACACCCGTTAACTCTGCGGCCCCTGCTGGTTGTGGCTTTGTCAGTTAGCCTTGCCTTGGGGACCTACGGAGTCCCAAGCCTCCGACCCACTGGGGAGAATGCACAGTGAATGCTGATGCTTTTTGCCTGTCCAGACACTTCCCGTGTGGTGCTAACGGTCCCCTGTGTAATAGTTTATGTTCTAGGATGACCAAGTAGAAGAATACTTTGAAAAAATTGATAATGCCTTCTGGCTATACAGTGAGTCTTTGTTTTGTTTTGTTTTGTTTTCCCTTTGCCATATCAGAGAATTGATTTGCCTGAGAGGGTGTCTTTACGATAAATAACGGGAGCACGGAAAACCCTTAGCACTTTGCCTGAGCAGCGAAAGAAAGATTGAGCTGTGGGTCACAGAAATGTTCTTAAAATGAAACAGACTGCCGATGTCTAAATTGCTTTTCTGTGATGGAACTGCTTGTACTCTATATCCTGTTCATAATGCAGATCAAATAAGATTATACTATTATTTTTCTTTTGCCGTAGCTCAGGACAGTGGTGAGTTTCAGACTCCTCTAGGTAAGGCCCAGCTTGGCGTAGGGGTTGTGTGTGCACCTGACCTGGGAATGGGCTTTATATTTCTCTCGTGTGCACTCTTCTGTGAGCTGAGGTTCAAAGGCTAACGGCGAGCTTGGCGCTGAGGAGCAGTGCACGGTGCACTTGGTTGTATTGGGCTCTGCTGAACACCTCTCCAAACCCTCAGAGGACAATTCACTCCAGGGCCCTGCCGTGCAGGTGCCAAGTGAGAGCTGAGGCAGCCACTTCTGCATTTGCATTCTTTTGGGAAAGAGAGCAAACACGCTACAGCTATCATTTCAGCCACCAACTTGAGCCTTGCAGCTTCCAAAAGAGAAGCTCAACAGAATTTGTAAACATGCCCTCACTGCTCCTCCTAGCCCCTCTGGACAGCCAGGAGGCTGGGGGGTGGCATAGCCTCCCTGCCTAGGATGGAGAAGCTGAGCCACGGAGAGGCCCAGGCTTTGTCCCGGGGCATATCCAGCTATGGCCCGATAAAGGTGACGGAGCTGGGACCAGAATCTGCCAAAATTCTGTGTAGAGACCAATCCAGTAATGAATCAGTGCCTACCAAGCACTGCAGAGAACGCAGAAGAAATATAAGATACAGTCCTGCCCACCGAGACACCGAGAATTTATGATCCAGTTGGATTACAATTATTTCTATGATGGAATAATGTTTTCCTAATGTCTTCGAACTCCAGATAGCAGTTGCCTCCCTCCCTCCTTATCCCTCATTCGTGATGGGCTGGTGGGTGGGCCTCCCTCTCCCGAGCCCCGTGCTGGTCCTCATCTGCCTGCCCTGATGGAGAACCAGGGCTGTAGGAGACAGGATTTATGAGTACAGATCTATGTATACACACACACACACACACACACACACACACTCACGCAGAGAGACACACACACACAGGCCTTCTCATCCTAACCACCCTTTAATAAGCACGATTCTGACCCCTACAACTTTCTGTTTGCTGGAGGTAGCTCTCCCCCTATAAGCTGTTCTTCAAAACTCTTAGCCTTTCTGCGTGTGCTTGGTGTGGTGCATGAAAAGTCGATTCTTTGTGTGGCTCCCATCTAGAGGGGAGGTCAGGAGGTTTAGACCTCTGCTGTGTCTGGCGGGGAGCGGGGAGGGCTCCAAGGGGGACGGGTGGGGAGGGCGGAGGGGAGCAACCGCTTATGTCTTCCTCGCCCTTTCTGTGCTCCCCTTCCTGTGGGCTGGTGCTCACTAATCCAGCCAGGAGACCCCCAGTAGGCTGAGCGTACCTTGCCGGAGCTCCCCCTCGGCGGGGAGAGAGAGCCCAGAGGGTCATCTTAACCCCCCGGAGAGGCGGCAGGGCAGGGCTGGGCTGGGCAGGGGCAGGCCAGGCCTTCCAGAGTGGGGGGGGGGGGCGGAGCGAGGGGAGGCTGGTGAGGAGGGTAGAAGCGGGGCCGCCGCCGAGCCTGTCCGGCTGACCCTCCCTGTCATTGCTTCCCCCCCCTCCCCGCCCCGGCAGGTGCCCGTTCTGCATTTATTCCACCAACCGCCCCGCTGCCATGGAGTGCCACCTCAAGACCCACTACAAGATGGAGTACAAGTGCCGGATCTGCCAGACGGTGAAGGCCAACCAGCTGGAGCTGGAGACGCACACCCGGGAGCATCGCCTCGGCAACCACTACAAGTGCGACCAGTGCGGCTACCTGTCCAAGACCGCCAACAAGCTCATCGAGCACGTGCGCGTCCACACCGGCGAGAGGCCCTTCCACTGTGACCAGTGCAGCTACAGCTGCAAGCGCAAGGACAATCTCAACCTGCACAAGAAGCTGAAGCACGCGCCCCGCCAGACCTTCAGCTGCGAAGAGTGCCTGTTCAAGACCACACACCCTTTCGTCTTCAGCCGCCACGTCAAGAAGCACCAGAGTGGGGACTGTCCCGAGGAGGACAGGAAGGGCCTGGGCCCAGCGACCCCCAAGGAGCCAGCCGGCCCCGGGGCCCCGCTCCTCGTCGTCGGGAGCCCCCGGAATCTCCTGTCGCCCCTGTCGGTCATGTCCGCCTCCCAGGCTCTGCAGACCGTGGCCCTGTCGGCCGCGCACGGCAGCAGCTCCGAGCCCAACCTGGCACTCAAGGCTCTGGCCCTCAACGGCTCCCCTTTGCGCTTTGACAAGTACCGGAACTCGGATTTTGCCCATCTCATTCCCTTGACAATGTTGTACCCCAAGAACCACTTGGATCTCACATTCCACCCTCCCCGACCTCAGACTGCGCCTCCCAGCATCCCGTCACCCAAACACTCCTTCCTCGCCTATCTCGGACTAAGAGAACGAGCAGAGACTGTCTGAGGGCAGCCGTGTTCTGTACCAAAAACAAAGAGACAAAGACAAAAAACAAAAACAAAAACAAACAAAACCCCACAAAACTTAAACACAACCCCAGCAGGTGTACGTTGCTGCAAAACCTACAGACCCCCGGGGTCTGAACACGTGTACTGTATATCTTTAGTAAGGAATAGAGAATTGGCTCTGTGTGTATACCTATTGCATTGACCTGAAAGCTGCTTTATCCAATCTTCAGAGAGGTGACCTACTGCATACTTCTACCTTCAGAGGCATGCCTCCCCACCACCCACTCCCACTCTCAGCCTTCTCCGTACTTTTATCTGAAAGGAATTTTGTCTTGTTAAACCCTGAAGAGAGTGTCCTTAACAGCAATCAGCACTTGTACGCTTATAGACGGGCGCATTTTGTTTTCTGTTGGGTGAATGGGCCGTGTGGGTGCTGTGGATTCTGGAAGAGAAAGCCGTGTGCCACGCCATTTCTGTTGCACATTTCTTCGTGCTGGCTTCTTTAACAGCGATGAACATTCTTTTCCCTCCCGGGTTGTTCATCCATGACAGTCTCTCCCCGAGCTCCTTCATCACCTTTCCCTCTCTCTTTTATGGCTACAGAGTGGTAGGGCCTGGTGCTTAAGTCGATGAAGGACTGGTAGACACCCACAGTGCTGCTTGAGATTTCCGGCCAGGTGGTCAGATCTTCTCGTTCTGCTCAGATCTTCTTGGTTATGAAGATGCGAGAACCGAGAGTCCACTCTGGAAGAAATCTCTCACAGCACTGCAGCCAATATAAAACTTAAGTGTGTTTTGTGTGTGTGTCCATACGTATACAATGTGTATGGTGCACACAGTGCATCATTTTTTTAAGGGCAGATTATATATATATGTGTGTGTATACATGTACACACACATATATATATATGATGTATTAATTCAGTGGTTACCATTCATTTGCAGGAAAAGAAATTGTATGAGTGAAAAATTTTATGGTTGATAAATCCAGCCAAGGAGATTAAAGGGGTTTGGATAAATTCTGGGTATAAATGCTCAGACTAAAAAAAAAAAAAAAAAGAAAAAAAAAAGAAACGGCAGTTTTGCACAGTGCTTTGGTCTTGCACTAGTTTTTGTTTCTCATCTGCAAAAAAAAAAAAAAGAAAAAAAAAAGAAACGGCAGTTTTGCACAGTGCTTTGGTCTTGCACTAGTTTTTGTTTCTCATCTGCAAAAAAAAAAAAAGTAAAATAAAAGGAAGAAAATGTACCTTTTCTATGGAATGAGTAGACTGTATGTTTGAAAATTTTGTCACAACCTCTTTGACATATAACGACCCAACAAAAAGGTGCTGTTTAGTCCTACGGTTCAGTTCATGCCCCTGAGAAGTTTCCCTTGTGTTTGCAGATCGTCTGGCTATAGTGGTATTCTCCATGTTATTAATAATTCTGTATTCCATTTTGTTAACGCCTGGTAGATATAACCTGCTAGGAGGCTAACTTTTTACTTATTTATGGCTTTTATTTTGTGGTCATTAAAATGGCAACTTATGTGCAGCACTTTATTGCAGCAAGAAGCAGATGTGGATTGGTTGCATAGCCCTTTGCGAATCTTAAAAAAGTAATGGGTGATTTAAAAAAGAAAAGGAAAAGAAATCTTTGGCCGAGTATCTTAATTGCTTGTATTTGTAAGACAACAGAATTTCCAGTATGAAAACAAGCTGAAAGGGCAGGAAGAAATGTGCTTTGTATAATAATGGAACGTTTGGAATATAAAAGTCTATATATTATTTATCTATTGAAGAACTGGTGTACAAGAGGAATGCTTTCTTACTGCATTGCTGTTTTCCATCATGTGTTATCCTAGAGTGGGGATTTTTCTTTTCATCTGTTTCACCAGGGGAAAATAAAAGCATCCCTGATTTTCTTCCTCTAGTCAGTTTGCTTCACTGAAAGCCCCCTCGAACTTGGTACAGTTCTCACAGGAAGCCAGAAGACTGTACCGTCGGTCCACACCATGGACTCCCCCACCCCCATACCCACCCTTCTTCCCCCAGACCTAGCACGTGTGCTACACTTCCCTTTGCCAGTCCTCCAGCCCTGGCAAACCTGTTTACACTAAGGAGATGTCCCCAGGGGCAGGGAGGCTGAGCCAGCTAGGGCAGGAAGCCCCCCGAACCCTCGGTCATCCTCCAGCAGAGACATTTGTTCTTGGCTATGTTAGAAGCGTCGTTCAACCTCGCCACGTCAATGTCTCGATAAAAGACACTATAGACAGTTATGGACAATACACTCCAAGAATACTGGGCGCATGGGTGGGTTGGTTTTTTTTAAAAAGTCCTGTCTTTATCCCCATATAATGGAGAATGTGCCACTTGGCTAATAATGTGCTTTCAAAATTACAAGTTCAGTGATGACAGAAGAGGGCCCCGGTGATCCCACGGAGGCTGGCAGAACAGGCGAATCGCACGGAAGCACCAGCAGGTTAAAAACCTGACAGGGTGGCCCTGACAGTTAGGACTGCAGGTTTTACAGCATGCCACGTGTGCAATATGAGGTCCTCGGTTGAAACTTGCAAGATCGAGAAGGGTGTTGGAAGGAGATGTTTACTGCTCAAATGCCATGCATTTCACTGCTTGCCACTGAACTTGTATTTGAATGACTTGGTTATGCTTAATGTAATTGGGCAACTTTTTTAGCACTTTGGAAAGAGTCATCAATCTTTCTGGTAAATTATAAAAAGTTTTCTGAGTGAGAAAAGGTGTGTTTGGAGTTTGTTTGACTTTTTATATTATTATTATTGTTATTAATAAAGAAAAATCTACAGCATTTTTGAGACTCCACCGAGATAATATATACCCCCGAATTTGGTTTGCAGTTCGATACTCAGGGAAGGATTATTCCATAGATATCCTTTCCGTGTAAAACACTAACGTCTTTGAGAAATTCACCTGCCAACTAACTTCAATTCTGTTTTCACTATGCATTCTTCAATGAAAGCTAGCTTATTTGTCCATATAGTACTGCAGTTAGAGTTCTCAGCACTTTCTTGCTTCTATCCTTTTTTTAACTCCTCATATTATGTTCAGATGATCATACTGTCAAGGTTTGTGTACATTACTGAAAATTTGTATTGTATAAAGCTTTTTGCATTACAAGGCTGTACAGGGTCATTTTGACAGTAACTGGTATATTTCTTTGCATCTTATGTTGCATTGCCAATTTCTAGTGTATCCAGTTTGGAAGTATAATATACTCTAATTAAAACAAAAAAAAGGTTGGCTATACTCTTTGTTTCTTTTTTTTTCTTTCTCCGCCCGCCGCCCCCCCTTGGTTGCCATCCTTGACTACTTGTTAGTCTCAGGGTTTTATTTGTCTTGCTTTGTTCCCATTTTAACTTCTCAGCGTATTTTAAATAAGTTTAGGAAATGTCCATGACTAGTTATAGCTATTGCAAAACGCAAGTTTTGAACAGCCATGGTTCTAATACAAACTGTCATTATGTAAGTCATTAATAGCCATTAAGGCTGAGAGCATATCCATCATTCAGTACAGTTGCAGACCGGCTCCTTCCTGAAATTACTTAGTGACATTTTAAAGTGTTCACCAGCCTTACCCTCTCCTGCTTAACATCATTTTACTGACCCCATAGCCAAAGGGCAGGGGGGAAACAGATGAATAATTCCATTTATCCTAATGAAGTTTGGCAACTATGAGATTTTAATGAGGGGGGAAATGGTCTATTTTGTAAGCTAAATAATAATCTATCCAAATGCAAGTAATGATTTGCCATTCAAAGGAAGGTACCAGAGGAAGAAACTGAGGCCAAAACAAAAGATGACAAGCACACTTAAGTTCAAACAATAATTTTTTTAAATCCATTTTAAAGTTCCGTTCCTTAGATATTTTCCCTATGAATCTGCGACGGTTGATAAAAAATATAAAGCAGCAAAAGAGAATGTTCTATCTAGTTCACAGCTTGCATGCTTATAAATATAATGTCCTTTGCTCCTTGTAAGAAATTATGAACTGATTCACTCTAACACTGAAAAAGATCAAATTTACTTTTCATAAAATGAGATGATATAGGAGGAGGCACTTTGAAAATGACCAGTCACTAATCAGACACTATTTTCCCCTTCGCTTTTTCATCCAGTAGCTATTTTTAGGTGATTGAATCGACTTCTCGCGCTTGATTCAATACCAGTTTTGTTTGGGGGCGGCTGATATTTATACTGAAAATATTAAGTCAGACTTCCTTGCCTTTTGCTAGCACTATAGGCCGGAGTGGCTTTTCATTTTGTATCCATATTTTTTTTTTTCTTAGATCCCACACCTACCTCACATGGGCCCTGTGATTGAGAAAAGCCAGAAATACAAAGAAAAGTCATCAATTTCATAATGGTCTCCCGTTAATGGGCTTCCAGTGACTGAGGAACGACTGGGAAGGGAGCCATCCACGATGGAACGGACCACGGCCACTAACCCTTCTGTTTACCTAGACTGCTGCAGGTGCATGGGGGCGGCTCCAAGCCAGTCATGTGGCCCCTTCCTGAATTTAATCTGAAATCAGACATACTTTTCCCACTGTCATGTTAAATAAATATACTTGAAGTTAAGACTCAAGGCCTCCTTTTCTTGGCCACCAAAAACTCCCTGACGATTTAACAGAGCCCCAGGGCTAGTCACAGATAAGGAGCGTGGGGAGAAATTTCAGGGTTTGATGAGCACAGGTACCTCCTTACCCACAGAAGCACCATATTAGAACCCCTGCCTGCCGAAGGTGATGTGGGGCTTGTGAATGATTTGAAGGAGAAGGCACGTGTCATTAGTCGCTGAAACAGAACTCAAAGCCCCGCCCCGGCTGTCAGTCTTAAGGGAGGAAGGAGACCCACGAGGAGTTCTAGGCATACAAAAGGGGAAGAGAGGGAAGAAAGGGGATAGCAGCTGGCTGACTACATCGTGCTTGCAGAAGACTGGAACCTTCCCAAGGGTGCCTTAGAACCTGTAAGCAAAATCACAGGATAAAAGAATGCCCTTGGGGATTTGGACTCCATTCTAAAGAGCCATCAACCACAAATATTCCAGAGACCCCAGCCAACATTCTTACTTATACCACTGCCTCAAAACAGAAAAGTCCTACACAAAATGAGGTCTGTTGTGCAAATAACTACCATTAACTAACAAAGCAGGTATCCATAAAGCAGTCCCTGGGGTAAATAAAGTGTGGCGACTGTGGGGACTGAGGGGACACATTCTTCCCTGGTCTGGGGTCTGAATGGCCTCAAGTTATCAATCAAGACCTCTTCTTTATGAGGTAGCAGATCTCCTATTCATAATTCTTTCTTGATAGCTGGGTCTATAAAACAGGACATGCAAATGTTGCTCACATTGGTCGGAGCTGCAAAGGGGGGAAAAAAAGTCAACTTCCAAGAATTCCCTTTGGAATTCTGTTTTGATAAGAGTTCAGGTAAGTATTCGTTAATTAGTTCTTAGTTTTCAGTAGAATTATTGACCCATACCAGAGTCCACCTCAATTCACATTTCAAACTTATTTTCCCCTGTGCCACTCCCTAACAGGTGACTTTCTACCCTAGTTAGTGAGACTATCTGAATTACAGATAGTCTTTTCCAGCCCTGAAGGCCATTGCCATGGAATCAGATCACCTGAGTTTGAGGCCTGATTCAGAAGCTATAGGTTGAACTAAATGATCTATAAGACCCCTTCCCCCCCGCCCCAGCAGATAACATATAATAAACGATGATTCTGTCACTCTTTCTAAGCAAGCAAAAGTCAGCCTTCAGAAACAGAAGTGGTCACAAAGCAGAATCCTTGCAAGGTAGTCATAGCAAAAATGACATCTCAACGTTTTCAAACAACAACAGACTCAATGGGGGTAAAAAAATGGCTAAAAATATTTTTCTGCCCACTTCAGAGTTTGGGAGGTCTAAAATGTTTCTTTTCTGATTAAACACAAAATCGTCATGCTTGGATCGCCTGCGGTCATCTGGAGGGTGGCTTCAACATATTTTACCAAACTGTGGGTACTTAATTTGGTTAGATGAGTTAGAGGTAACCAGATGGGGATGGAAAGGACTAGCCTGCATTCCTCTAACTTCGCCCCCTCCTTCTGCCCACTGGCTGTTTCCAGCCTCCTCCAGGTGACTTAGCAAGACTGTGACTGCTGAGCTCTCTGCCACCACGGTTCAACTATTTTCTGTAGAACAGCGAACAGTTGCTTGTGACAAGTAAAAACATATTTTAGATTTAATGCAATGGAAGAATATACTAAATATGCTTATTCTGCCTCTTGTTTAAGAAGACTCTCAGCCCCCGGGGTGCCTGAGTGGCTCCCGTCGGTTGAGTGTCTGACTCTTGATTTTGGTTCAGGTCATGATCTCAGGGTCCGGTCATGATCTCAGGGTTGTGAGATGGAGCCCCACATCAGGCTCCGTGCTAGGCATGAAGCCTGCTTGAGATTCTCTCTCTCTCTCTAAAAACAAAATAAAACAAAACCAACAACAACAAAAATCCAAGAAACTCTCAGATCAAAACTCTAAACACATTATGAAAGCTCCCAGGGACTTCCATTGGATGGAAAGGCTCCACGTGTTTACAGAGACACAGGGAAATAACTGATCTACCCCCATCAGCAGACAATTAAAGCCAAGAGAAAACACTGGTCTAGGACCAGGGAAATTTATCTCGCCGTCCTCTGGCTTCAATGTAGGGCTCCACCCAAACCACCCCAGAATGATCAATGGGTTTCAGATCTTAAAAGATTTCTAGACAGGGAATGCCATCACTTGGTTTCAGTGTGCTCTTATTTTAATTTTAAATGAAATTCCTAATTAGTGGTCCACAGACTTTTCAGTGTGTATTATAAAGGACCAACAAGCCCCTGTCCTCTTATGTCCCACTTCAAAGAGAATGTCTGTTACAACATTCTCCATGCAATGGGTTTGATCGCATTTGTAGGCTCCCCCCACCAATCTATTTTCTAGATCCCCCTAAAAAGCAGAACCTTGAGATTTATTTTGGAAAACAATTCCAGAAACAAAATGGGGTACTAGAAAGAGTGAAGCAAGTAAGAAGGTAAAGCCAACCCCAGATGTGTTGGCCAGCTGGTCATTGCTGTGAACCAGGGGGATGCAATCCCTCCCGAAACTCTCATGAGAAGCTGTGTAAATGTATCTCAGAACTGACAGCCCAAGGGGTGGAAGAAAGAAGGGGCTAGAGTAGCCTCAGAGTGTTAACTGCCTTGCACTTCCAGGTTTGGCCATGATTTAGAATGGCTGAGTAGGTTCCCAAAGGCAGCCACAAAGGTGACAAAGAAGCCAATGGTTCAGAACTCGAGAGGCGCATGGTGAAGCTAAGGTCAGGGGCTGTCAATTACACCTGACCATAGCTGGTTACTGTAGCAGAGGCTGGCTTAAGAAGGTGAGTTTGTGAGATGGGGAACAATAGATATCCAATGAAATCATCATATTTGGCAAGAATATTGCCATCACTTTGGCCTCTAAACTAATGTTGGCTACATATCCAACCTACTGAGTTAGCTCAAAGCTCTTCTCCTTCCCCGTGGTTGGAGTTGGGCAGAGCCAAGAACAGTGCTGGGTCATGATGCTACGGAATGGAAGGGGTCGCACATGAGAAGCAAGTGAAGGCTCTATATGATAGAGTCTGCCCTCTGGGGTTCGCTTTTTGATTTCTGTGATGGAATTGAGCTCTTCTAGGACTCCATCAGGGGGAAGTCACTTGACAGGGACATTGGCTGCCTCCCACCTCAGAGAGCCTCCTTGACCTGGGGAAGCCACATGAGAGCCCAAATGAGGCCAGAAGAGAGGAGTCATCCCTCAGCCTTCCGAGGTGCCTGGTATCTCTCAAAGGTACCAACTTACCATGAATGAGGGTCCAACAAAGGGGTCGGCAGCCAGACCTCAGAGAGAAATAAAATGATTACATTTGGTTTGCCTGGCGTTGTTTTCGTACGTATATCTTTTGTACATATATCTCCCAGGCATCTGGCGCTCAACAGGGAAGTATCTGTCCTCATGGAAAACAGTTGATTGAAAGTAAAAATAGTCAGGATATGGGTGATCTCTGTTTCTTTCTATCTCTAACCCACAACCAGCAGTCAGTCCTTTTGCTAATGAGGACTGGGCTAAGCATAGACCAATGGATAGTTACACAGATACATAGAAAATATATATAAAGAATGCATACAGTGTATACATAATATAGATATAAACATAATATATATGTATTTGTGTGAGAGCATCCAGA